ATTACTGTTAAGCAGGTATTCTTACTGCAGTGCTGTTGCCTGTTGATTCTTTTGTTGCATGCAAGCACTGATCATGTTATACAACAATTCAGCAGCCATGCTTCTGAGGATATAATATTTTGCATTACTTCTTCAAATCAATAAAGTGACTTTGTTTCAAAACTCTGAAGCTTTCACATTGATCTGTGCCCTCAGCAGATGTACAAGCCTCTTCCTTTGTCTTGCAGAGTGCTAAAAATGTTTTCAGTAAGTAAATGAAGAATATCCAAGAAACCTCTGAGCAAACAGAATCCAAACATAAGCCTGAGAGACATACTGAATGGGTGAAGAAAGTTTTCCTTCTTAACTGATTGAGTATTTCATTGGCTAATAATTAAATAGTAACATTTCCAATAGGAAGAGGATAAGTATTAGGAAAATTTCTGCCCCAAAAAGCTTGCTTAGTCATCTTTACGCCTGAAAGAGACAGAGGAAAGTCTTCAGTTTTCTTTATTCAAATAAAGGGAGAGTCCACTGTGGGGTCTCTCAGAGTACTGTGGTACACAACTCCTCTTTTATCCCCTGTACTCCATCACTAGAGAGCACTTCCCCCCATTAGCTAAGGTTCTTGGGGTTCCCACTCTTCTTGATTCGCCTATCAGCCACCGCCCAGTACTACTCCCTCTCATTTCCATTGTTTATATGTATTTTGTAATCTGGGTTCAGAGTTTGTTGTTTTACCCAACTGGAACTGTCTTTGTATCCTGTTAAGTCCAACACTCTTTGTTCTGCCCAGCAAACAAAATGTATATGCAAGTGCTAACCTAGCTTCTCCTGCCATAATACTCAAAGATAAGTTTGTTTAACCAGATCCTTGTGACTGAAACTCTTCCTCTCGGCTTTTTCTTTATCTCCTTTTACAGGAGATAAAGTATCCTTCCTTTGTTCTTCCCAAATTTTCTTTTGCAAGGACACTTTATCCTTGTTTTTCCTTCAATGACTAAAATTGGATAGCAATACATTTACAAACTGCCCTTCAATTTTGTCTGCCCTCTATCCTAGGCAACCATTTTCCATCACTAAAAGAACTGTCTCACTTGGTCAGACTGTTGATCCAGCTGACAATGGCACTCTGACATCAGTACTCATCTCACCCAGTTTAAATATCCTAATATTTTGAAACCAGATAAAAGGTACCAAGGGTCACTTACAGCAACTCTTGCAATTGTGTTTAGAGTTTAATATAATGATAGGCTTTTAAGGGTAAGTGGAGTATTATTAATTTCTTATGGCAATTTCCAAAAACTGAATCACTTCTTTCAGTTAAGGCCCTCACCTCCTGATAGCACCTAGCCCCAGGACAGCTGAGCATGCAGAACTGCAAACTATCTCCTGAAATGTCTAAATCTCAGATGTGAAGCTTATACTGTTGGAGCTTCTGCTTCGCTTCTGACTGTGCAAAAGATAATGTGGCCTAAGTTTTCTCTTGTAAAGCTGAAGAAAAAAACTCCAGTCTGCTTTTGCCCAAAGTATGGAAGTAACTGAGGTTAAGTCTCAAATACACAGTTTCAAAATTCAAATTTACATAAACTCTTATTAAAAGTCATCTGAAATAATAGGGGACTCTCCTTTTGACTTCGGAAGATCAGAGGAACTGACAATTCTTGTTCTTACATTGCAGAACAAAGCTATACTTTGTTAAGTGTTTTGCTCCTTAAATTGTACTACTCAGGTCCAGGAAGGCTCTGGTACAAAGTTTTCTAGTGGGAAAACTCAGTAGATTTCAGGTTTTAGATTGCAAACTAATTCAGATTTCAAAAGCAAGAAGCTCCTTATTTTTATTTGAGGGGCAATGAAGCAAGGGGAGATTACCTGGAATTGAAGTAGCAGAATGAAGTAGACTGTGTAGTCCTTAACAAAGAATTGATATTTTTAGCAAGAATTTGAAGACCTTAGAAACAACAACCATCTATTTTGAGATGCCAGTGAATTTGGAATAGCTCATTCCTACTACTTTTTATCTTAAGCACATTACCTGGATATCACAGCAAGACCAAAGCTGGATTACAGTCAGATTCATGTCTGATGTCACTGCGCCAACTCTGGGAGATCTGATTACCATGCATACAGGCTTGAGGTTCCATTCAGTCCAGCCCAATAGCAGTAAAGCCCTTCAAACAAAAATTGGGCAGATAGATGCCTCAGAAATAGCTTTTTTCACTTTCTTATACAGTGAAAACTGGGAAAGTAAACTCTACTTAATTGAGCTGGCACCAATCGGAGCTAACTCTGGTGTTCTTCACTAGTGGCAACAGATAAAGCAAGGCTAGGAAAGGAAACAAAGTCCAGACAGGTATGTTGTTATAGGCAGCAGAGATGGAAAGATGTTCTTGCTTCTCCTAGACTAAATCTGCATCGTCCTCTGTTATATTTTAGTTTGGAAGTAGTGACACCTGAAAGGAGGGTCAGGAGAGTGGTGTGCAATTCCACTGGTTCCTTTGACTCTTTTCATCCATAACCTTGACCTTTGGCTCATTCACTTACACAACAGGCAGTTTTTGGAAATTAAATAAAATACTGTTTGTGCTAGTAAGTTTTGAGGGGGAAAATGAAGTTTTCTTCTGGCAAAATGTTCCTAGATTCCATTATTTTTTTTTTTTTAATCAACTTTCTGAAATCTTATTCCTGCAGTCAAAACTATCCAGAGAGGATGATATTGTGTTAAACTTGAGCCTCCCAGGACTGATTGGTTAGAACATGGACAAGATAATTCATAAATAGTAAAAGACTAAACTGGGAACAATAAATATGATCTTCTGCCTGTTCACAGAGTTCCTGGACTCCATTAAAAAAAGCATATAATAATGTTATTAAAACAAAAACCAAAAAACCAAAAACACAGCCAATTACTTTGCATGTAGCAATGTAAATTTCACCACTAGTAATTAAAATATTGAAATTCATATTCCCTGTTTTCTAATGCATCTGTGCAAGATTAATGTGTGGCAACTAATATTTGCCCATTTAAGCAGAGATTCATGAAGGGCATTTCCATTTCTGATCTTTTCTTTCTGCTCTCATCGAGTGCTACTAAGCTACCTCAAAAGTGTTAATGACATTTTTGCATGATATTCAGATACAATTTTTGAGGATCAAGAATTAAATCAGATGAATAAAATGGTCAGACTGAGACTACCACAAACGGTTGATTTTCTTTGTTACATGTATGTGTTTCCTGCACAAGAGAAGAAAGTTCATTAGCAAAAAACAATTTCTTACTAACAAACCTCACTTCAAAAGCTCTTGATCAGGGTAGTTTCACTTTTGATTAGATTCTATCTATCCTGGGTTGAAAACAGACAAAATTAGAATTCTGTCTTTGCAGAATCCTGGCTTCTAAATTTATATATATATATATATATATATATATATATATATATATATATATATATATGGTCATTTTTTTAGTACAATCAACTTGAATTCTAGAAAAACAAGTACCATAGATCCATATCTATCAAATTGAAAAGCCTTTAAGGTTCAGTGAAATTCCTTCCTGACATTTCAGGTTTAGCAGGAGGCTAATTAGGCACAGTTTCAACACTGCTGTGCTGCTTTAGTGCATAGCAGGCCAATTGTAAGCTACTTACAAACTTAGCAGCACTAAGAGATACCAGCTTGAGACTTATGGCAAGTTTAGATTGCTTTTTTTTCCTCGCATATTTGCAAAACATACTGAAATTCTGTTTCTCAACATAGACTAATTGGACAAACTTTTTTCAGTGATGTGCACTTAAGGCCAAAACTTAGAAAATGTTGATTTATTTTATATGAAATCTTTTAAGCACAATGAAGGTGATAACATCCAGATGTCCACATCCACCAGGTTTTAGGAAAGTTCCTCTCCAGTCTGGTTTGTCTTGGTCATTACACACTAACTACTACGTTTGTATTTGGACGTGGGTGATCTGAGACAGCCAGCATGGCTTCGCAAAAGGAAATTGTGTCTGACCAACCAGATGACCTTCTGTGATGGAGTGATGGCATCAGTGGACAAAGAGAAGGTAACTGATGTCATCTACTTGGACTTCTGCAAGGCTCTCACTGCATCCTTATCTCTAAATTGGAGAGATATGAATTTGAAGGGTGGATTATGTGGTGGATAAGAAATTAGTTGGAAGGTTGCTGTCAGAGGGTAGTTGTCAATGGCTCCGTGTTCAGGTGGAGGCTGGTAGTGAGCAGTGTCCCACAGGGGTCCATCTTGGGTCTGGTATTCTTTAACATATTTATCAATTACACAGATGATGGGACTGCATGCACCCTCAGCACATTTGCTGATGACACCAAACTGAGTGCTGTGGTTGATACAGCAGAAGGAAGGGATGCCATCCAGACGACCCTTGATAAGTTCGAAAGGTGGACCCTTTTGTACATTATGAGGTTCAACAAAGGAATGCAAGATGTTGCCCTTGGATTAAGGTAATCCTGAGTATTCATAAAAACTGGGAGAAGAACTCCTTGAACATAGCCATACTGAGAAGGATTTAGGGGTTCTGGTTGATGAAAACCTTCACATGAGGAAGGCCAATGGTATCCTGGGTTCCATCAGAAGAGGGGTGGCCAGCAGGGACAGGGATGTGATTGTCCCCCTCTGTTCTGCCCTTGTGAGGCCCCAGCTGGAGTACTGTGTTCAAGTCTGAGGCCCCAGTGCAGGAAAGATGTGGAGCTTTTGGACAGTGGCTTCAGTAACTTCACTATAAAGACAGAGATAGTAAAGGAATGGCTTTCTGTATGAGTTGGTGTTGTCACCAACTGCGAGACTCCCGGTCCGGGCCTCGCTTCCTTCCCCCGCCTCCTTCCGCGGTCCCCGCTCTCCGCCTCCCCCCGGGGCTGTGTGGCAGCGGCTCTCCTCCGCTCCTGGACCTTCAGGGCTGTGGTTCTCCCCCAGCTCCCTCCGTTGCCCCCCGCGCTCCCCGGAGCGCTTTCCCACGTTATCCCTGGAGCTTGGGGGTCCCTCTCCCTGTCTGTCCCCGGATATGCGGCCTGGGCTCTTTGGGGCCCGCACCACTCCCTGTCCCCCGTCCCCCCATTTTGCTCCCTCCGGCTCTCAGCATGCCCCTGGGGCTCGCTTTCCATCCTCCCTCTGTGGGCTTCCCCAGTTCTCTCACAGCCCTGTGTTTTGGGGAGGTGTGGGACGCTGCCAGTCCCCCTTGCTGTCCCTACCTTCCCCCCCGAGTTCCCAAACGAGGGGCTCTGTCCCTCCCATGGGTGACGGATGGTCCTGGTGCTGGTCCTGCAGGAGGAACTGCCGGGGGAACCCCAACTGCCTGGTGGGCATCGGGGAGCACGTCTGGCTGGGCGAGATTGACGAGAACAGCTTCCACAACATCGATGATCCCAACTGCGAGCGCCGCAAGAAGAATGCATTTGTGGGCTTAACGAACCTCGGCGCCATGTGCTACGTGAACACTTTCTTGCAGATGTGGTTTCTTAATCTGGAGCTCCGGCAAGCCCTCTACTTGTGTTCCAGCAATGAGCACACAGTCAGAGAGAGCATCCCCAAAGAGCCTCAGACCATTTGTGAGCATCTTCAGTACTTGTTTGCCTTGCTGCAGAACAGCAGAAGGCGATACATCGATCCCTCTGGGTTTGTCAAAGCGCTGGGCTTGGATACAGGCCAGCAGCAGGATGCCCAGGAATTTTCCAAGCTGTTCATGTCACTGCTGGAAGATACTTTATCCAAACAAGAAAATCCAGGCGTTCGAAACATTGTTCAGAAACAGTTTTGTGGGGAGTACGTCTATGTCACGGTCTGCAACCAGTGTGGCAGGGAATCCAAACTCGTGTCTAAGTTTTATGAGCTGGAGTTAAACATCCAAGGGCACAAGCAGCTGACAGACTGCATAACAGAGTTTCTCAAGGAAGAAAAATTAGAAGGGGACAACCGTTATTTTTGCGAAACTTGTCAGAGTAAGCAGAATGCCACAAGGAAGATCAGGCTGCTAAGTCTTCCATGCACACTCAACCTGCAGCTGATGCGTTTCATGTTTGACAGACAAACTCGCCATAAGAAAAAGCTGAACACCTACATTGGCTTCTCTGAGCTGCTCGACATGGAGCCTTTTATGGAACAAAAAAATGGTGTTTATGTATACGAACTGAGTGCTGTTCTCATACACCAAGGTGTGAGTGCATACTCAGGGCACTATATCGCCCATGTGAAGGACCCGAGGAAATGGCCAGAAGTTATACCAGAAGAGGTTTAGGTTGGATATTAGGAGTTTCTCCTAATGGGCTCTACTCAGAGGATTATTAAGTTAATAGGTTGTCATTAGGTTGATAGGTTATAGGGTTATTAGGGTAGGATTATTCTGCGAATCGCGACGTAACGGGGCAAGGCTTAACCGAGAGGACAATGGCATGGATAGGCGCAATGCGGGGATTTCGGGGTGTACGCGGTTAGGATCCTCTCGAGTTGTAGTAGACTTTCTTGAGCTTGGAGAGGGGGAGATGTTGTCAGCAACTGCGAGACCCCCCCACGGGATGTGACGCGATAGGCCCTCTCCCTGCTCTATGATTGATGTGTGGCACGTGCCCTTAGGGGCGTAGACAAAGCACATAGGTTGTATAAGCTAGAGTTCACGTGTAATAAACGCCATTTTGCTGTTCATCATATTGGTGTGTGCGTGCAGTCATTTGGTCCTGGCCTGGTTTTAGGTCAGTAGCATAGGAGGCAATGCAACAAGTTGGAAGAAGAAATAAAGCCGAACTATTTACACCTTGCCATTGCCATAAATCTGTAACCTGTTAATTGTTCTGTGATTTAAATAATTAGTGATATCTGTTAATCATCCCTTTCATCTGGATTATATGAAGTAAAAATAAGCACTGGCTATAATTATTTGCAAATGAAATCCACACGCTTTATCCTTGGTTACCCCCATGGCTTTGCATAAGTACCAAGCCCATCAGTACATCCTTTTGACTACATATACAGAATTGCAAGATTAATTTTGAAAAAATAAGAATAATATGTGAAGACATTATTTTTCTTTGAGGTAGGATTCCAGGGAATGAGTATGAAGGCTAACTAGACCTGAGAAAAATTATACTTATAGATTTTCCATTACTTAAAAAAAAAGAAGACAATGTCTCCATAAAAACTCAACACTTATTCCTAGAGCTGTTCTATAAAGTGTGAGAGATGATTTCCAACACAGCAATCTTGTTTTTTACACAGTTTTCTAGATGTAAGGTTTTCCTTTTTTGCCTTTCACACATTATTTTTTCTCTGTAAATTTATCATTCTTCCCTTTAAATTGCAAATAAACAGGATGAAAAGCGTAACATATCCAAGATAGCCAATGGATCATACTATCCCGAATATTTCTTACTGGCTTCTAGTATCATGAAAATCTTTTTCTCATTTATAAGTGGTCTAGAGATGAATGTTTTTGGAGCTGATGTTCAGCAATTTATTTTTGAGACTTTCAGGCATGTTTTCCACTTGACTTGGCTGACTCAATACCTAGGACAAAACTTGGATTTCTGTTTGGAATATGACAGATAGTCCAATTTTTGTTTCAATCTGTTCTCTTTTAGAGCAAAGTTTAATGAGTTCATTTCAAATTAATCTAAAATACAGATTTGAAATTCAGTGTAAAATGTAAAAGCAACTCTCCTGAAGGATTTTGTAGTTTTTGGAAAATGTTTCCTTTTGCATGTGAAGTGAATACACTTCTTTATTTTCACACTTGAAGATCTTCTGTAAGAAAGTGAAACCAGACGTAATTTTTATCAGTCTATGTATTTCCTTGTCTATTGCTAAGACTTAAAAAGTTTGCATTAGAATGGTTGGATACAGACTTGAAATTCTTTCTTCTCTCGGGATCCTGCCTTCTTGATAGGATATTGAAGTCCTATCCAGTTTTTTTTCCTGCTGCACTTACGTGATTTTCATAAAGGGCTTTGTCTGTTTTGATTACTACTTAATATTTTCTTTTTCCCCTCCTCAAGTTGTGACTTCTTGCTTGTTCTCTCAGAAATCACTGTCTACTTCCGAATCAAAGCTGAGAGTTTCCTGGGAATTGATTTCACTCTCTCTTCTTCTGAAGAGGCTTTTTAGAAGTGATTACTTTTTCTAGGACAGGCTGCTCCAGTTAAACTCTCTTTGCAGAACTTCCTTTGTTACAGCATTTCAGGTGTTCCAGGATGGTGCAATGTCCGAACATCCTCTGACTGAAGTGGAAGAGAAGACAAGGTACTCATCTGTACAGGGAACACAGCATTTGCTTTGTCTTTGTTTTCTTGATATTTTAATGTATGTTGTTTCTACTCTGTCACTAAACTTTCTTTTATCATATTCACATTGCGTTAGGAAAAAGAAAAACAGTCACAAAGAAAAGACTTGAAGGCAATTTTTTTGTGTAATTAAGCACTTGAAAACTCAATTTCAACTTGTCTGCATCAACACATACTGTGATATCTTTACATTTCTAATTTTTTACTGCAAGTCATTCTTCTTCTCTCAGTGTACTGTATAGGACTCCTTGCTGCCCGTGATTAACAGGTCAAATGTTGTCTACTGTGCTTATTGAACAGGATCACAGGGAAGGGAAGATGCCTGTGGGTACAAATCTTCAAACTGAGTCCTATGTATGCTGCAGATCTCACAGTCTACACAGCCAGAATAGAATAAAGAAAACAGAGCTGTAATCACCATTCATTGGTTTAGAAATGTCATGCCAGCCACATTTCAGATGTTGTATGGTATTAATACTAATCAGCATACATTAGCAGCCAGAAATGTTCACAACTGTTCTAACAGCTGAGTGCCTCCGAGCTAAATTGAATTCATCCCTTAGACACCCATTAACACCTCTCCTTCCCATTTAGATAATAGAGCACAGTTGTTCAGGAATGTTTATGAAATGACATTCATTTGATTAATAAGTGACCTTGACTGAATGAGAATACATGCTCTCTGGAGTTTAAAGGATCTCCCCCTTTTCCAGTAATCTTGTCAGGGTTACAGCACTCCAAATCCTTAAAGAACTTGTAGGTGTGCAGTCAGTAATTATTGTGGGTCCATGGCAGAGGTGGCGGGTTTTTTGCTTTTCTTTTTTTCCATGAGAAATGTGTTTGGGAGAATTGTTTTTCTTTTTTTTTAAACAAAATTTCACATTCACATCCTAATATTCTAATTGTAGAAAATGATAAAGAAATCTGAGAATAGTGATCTGTTTTTAAAAATAAATCAGTATATATATATATACAGTAAATATATATATATATTTAGTAGCTTAATCCATTTTGAAAAACTCACTGACTCCAGTGGAACATTCTTATTAAGATCAAATGAAATATTGAAGTTTCATATATTGTTAATTTTATAGGACGTATACCCTAGCTACAATTAATTAAGGATATTGGAAACCTTTGATACAAAGGCAGATAAAAAATTAGCTTTGTATAGGAAGGCTTTGTAGAGCTGCATTATAAGAGTTTTTCAATAATAGATTAAACAGACTAAATAATTAAAATGTCATTTGATGGAAGTCAGACAATTCTTCTTTTACTTCAGCGTTACACACTGAACTGTATTTCTGCTCATAGGATGGAGGTGATCCTTCCTTGTCTGTTCCTTACTTCAAGGAAAACTTCAAACGGGATCTAAAAGCAAATGACAGTTGTTGACTACAGTATTTATTTGCAAACTTCAATGGGAAGCTGGGTTCAAGATTCTTGGCATGCCTGACTATGCTTACATTCAGATGACTGGAGGAAATTACAGAACCACACCTGGCTTTGTGCTGCAGGAGATATTTGGAATGAGAATATGCAGCCTCTGCTGACTGTCTCCACCACCACCAACAAAGTCCCCAGGGGATGCTTTTGAGCTCTGCAGCAGTGATTTGTTGTGCCCCTGGCAGAACAGGAGGTCTGAGCTGCAGAAACTCCATCACAGCAGACCCAGGTGTTTAGTGCACAGCCTGAAACCCACAGTGGATAAGGCAGCAGACACCCACCCCAGCATGTGGCACAGAGATGGCCTTGGTGGGGAGGCTGCAATGAGCCCAAACTGGGCATTACTGCCTGGTTCTGAATACACACTGGAGTGGAAGTCCTCCACTTTGCAAGGCAGCACTGTGAGCCCATCAATGCCCTTGTTCTTCCTTAAAAAATTTTAATGCAAATCCTAATTTAGAAATTTTTTCCCACTGCAGATTTGCCAGTAACTGTTACAAGCTATTTCCTTTCTGCAGAACAGCTGCTTATACTCAATCTTATTTAATTGAGACACAAATAGAAGTAGAGATATTCCAAAGCCGGTTTGTAGCTATTTGCATAGGTTAATTTCAGGGTTTTTTTGGAAGAACATTTTCTCTGTTTCACTATTACAACTTTTCCTGTATTATTTATTTTTCTCTCTGCTGCTAGAATTGAAATCTCAATCACATAAGATCACCACGTTGCGGAGATCACTTGTGTGCCTTTTTTAAGGATCTTCCCTGCACTTATCAAGAATCTCCTGCAGTTCACAGTTCAGTGACCATGGTACATGTAACACAATGTTCATCCTTTCCAAGTGAGCAATGCTCTGCGCCCTACAGCTTAGAGGTCAGCTGGGTCTGTAGAAGTAAGCTACTGCACTTGAGATTTTAGCAGTGGGATATTTGCCCTCTGACTGTATTTGTGAACTCATCGCAGCTGTAGCACAGTACTGTGGTATTTCCTGCTCCAGGGATTGCATATGCCAGGCAGAGGTGCTGTGCCAGGGCACTGCAGAGGCAGGAGGTGCCAGACAGAAGCCAAATGCACCTTCAGTTTCTGGGTATAAATCTTGACAATCCTGAGTAAAGCCAAAGACTTCTGCGAAGACCAGGATTTAGCCCTGAAAATATTCAAGAGAATGAGCTTTATAAGTAGGTATGTCTGACAGAGCATAAGATAATGAACATAAACATTCTGTTTGAGTCCTGCCAATGTTCAGGAAAATAGGGGTTAATGTAACAAGAGAAACACAGAGCTGCTGTTGAATAACATATGTGGAGTTGTTAAAAGGGCATCAGCACTGTTCTTCCTAATTAGAACAACTGGCAATAGTCCAGGCTTTTGTCTAGCTGCTTGGGTCAAAAGTGTAGCAACAGTCTGAATGTAATATAAAATAAACATCACAATGGGTATTATACTGAGTGTAATAATAGTTTGGCATGTAATGCATCATTATCTCTCATTAATTTTCAACTGGCACGATACAAAAAAACACAGGGCCTTGCCATTGAGTTTAAACGTGGCTGGCTCTTGAATTCACAGAATTTTCTTTCAATGTTTAACAATTGATTCTTCCATCACAATCTTTATGCTTTAACCTTTGCTGATACAGGAATGGACTTCTTTAAATCTCTAGCAGAAAAGAGGGACAGAAAATCTAAATTATAGCTCCATAAATAGAAATAGAATAAATGTAAAACATTTTGTTCCCATGTGTAATTTGTAGAAATTATTTTCTCATGATCACAAAGCCTTCAGGCTGAATTTCAGTTGCCAGAAGCATGCTGGTTGTGAAGTATAGTGTTCGAAATTTAAAAAAAAAAAAAAGTTGAGAGATAAATGTTTAATTTGTGACTATCAGTCACTTCACATTTCTGAACGATTGTTGAGTACCCATAAGATGGCTGTGATTGCCAATCCAGTGATGTGAGCATTGAGGAAACCCTGCCTATATTTGCTGAAAGCAATTAATGTTGGTTGCTCAGTTAAACGAATCAACACCTGTACCCGACACAAGAACAGATGGCATTATTTTTGTATTTTTGCCAGCACTGATGTTATACCACAGCATAGTAAATCTACAAGTAATGCACCTAAATTTAAAAGACACTGTGAGAGAAGAATGCTGGTGTGGTGAAAAATTAATCATTTTCTTACAACGTTTGAGTCGAGGAAGAACAAAAGTCTACAGATCCTACAAACTCAATTTCAAAATCTGAGCACTTGTTATGGCAGAAATTGTGTAGTAGTTTGATGTGATATTTCCTGCCTGAAAGCAAAGGACTATACTCTGCAGTGATAAGATTCTGCATTTCACTTAGCTACTTCCCATTTCTATGTTCTTCCCCACCTGTGCATCCCAGAATCCCCTTCCATCCACGCCATTAGTGTTGCCAGCACAACCCCTTGCACGGACAACCTATGGAGAAAATCAAGGAACTAATCTGACCAAAAAATCACCTCGCAAAACAGAAGTTTCAAAATTCAGATTAGTATCTACATGCTGCCCTCCTTTCCCGGGTAGTTGTCTTTATACAACTGATGGTATTACACAGGGCCAAGGCAAAGAAATAAGCAACATGAAAACACAGTTCACAGTGGGGCTTGCGTTTTTAATCCATCATTGATTAATAAACTAGGATTTAAATTGAACTTTGTTTTCTGTGGTCATTGCAAGCTCCCAGAATATATTGTTGAAAAAAAGGTGAAAAAATTTCCCTGAGTTCAGTTGCAACTGAGTTTATTCTTACTCAGCTTTGCTGCACCAAATTCTCAAGGAAAAAGTAACAAAAAAATCTTATTTCAGATTTTTCAGGCTTTTGCTCTCTCAAGTTTTTTTTTTTCCTGATTATTTTTGTCTTGTTAATATAAATACTAAAGCCAATCAAGAGAACTGCTGGGTTTCACTGAAGGCTCAGAAGCAACATGTTCTACCTGCAATATTTGTTAAAAAGTATAAAAATGCAGTAAAATGTTCAAAAATTAACACTCACTGAAGGACACTGCTAGCTTTATCTTGCCAAACTCATTAAGGTAAAAAAGGCAAATCTCACTGGATATTCCAAAGTGATTCATCCTCATTGTTTGAGAGAAAAAGAAAAAAGGTATGTGCTGAGAAACCAATTGTTCTAGACCTGTTTGTAGTAGATTGCTCCACAGAGGCAGTTCCTTCCAACTGCAGGGTGATTCAGTTATGACTGTGATAAAAAAAATAGGCAAGAAGAGTGAGCTGGGATTTGGCAGAAACTGCGTGGCTTGAGCAAGGCTTGTTGGACTGTGCTGATTGAGACTGGAGAGCTGGCAAAGGCTGAAGACAGGTGGGTGTGCTGACAATGTGCACAGACAAAGCTAAGGCACACAGAATAGGTAGCAGTGAAAAAGTGAGCTCTTTACTTTCTCAGAAAGGAGAACAAGCAGTGCCAGGAGAGCATTTAATCCACACTGAATGCAATAAGGAGCTTGGGGAGCTCCTGCTGGACAGGACCAGGTTAGGATGATGTGGCAGTTCTATTTGAAGGAAGGCATGATTTATGTGAGGTAAATTTACTATGCACTGTAAGCTCAAAAAGGTTTTGTCTAACATGTCTTATGTTATAAGTTGTTTTAGGCATAAATATTTGCCTTTGGAAAAAAATCCTATGGATAGTGAAAGAAGGAATAGAACTGTGGCTAAACAATGAATTCCACAAGCATTTTGTATTTAAGATCCTTGGTCTGAAATAAATGCAATAGCAAATTCCTTCTGAATGATGCTCCTTCACTTTATTAACCTTCAGGTTAGCATGCTATATATAAAAAAAGACTGATTCAGATTAGGTCTAGAGGTGAATTGCAATGCAGTTCATGTAATTTAAATTCAATAATATACTTCTGATTAATTGTTTTGATAAAATGATTATGTGCATAAATAACTCGATCAAGCACTACCTCTGCATGGTAAAGAAGTGTTTGGGTCATCTGGAGAGAGCTCTGGCAGCTGGCAGGCTGTGAGTTGATCAGCACAGAGAAAACTAAGCTGCATCAGAGGAATATCCAAAATCCAACACTAGGTGCCTAGTGTGTGCTGGTGTTGGAAACAGAAATACTCACTGAATTTAAATAAGTATTGGGATAGACTGCAGCTCATCTGTAATGTGAAAGGCTGTTGTTTCAGCTTAAGTGCCTTAGCATGGGAACTGCTAACTCTTAAAAAGACAAGTTTTTGAAGTCTCCAATATATCTTGTGGTTCTGCTTTCCCACAAGAGTAAGTTAGGACATTTAAATTGACCCTTCTCCTAACTCATTTGTTTCACATGACAAAAGTTGTGCAATGAGCTCCTCACCCAGTATATTGAAGACATATTGTGCCTGGTCAGTCTGGTGGCCTTCTACAATAGAGTGATTGATTGATGTCATCTACCTGGTCTTCTGCAAGACCTTTGACATAGACCTATACCACATCCATATCTCTAAATTGGAGAGATATGGATTTGAATTGTGGATTATTTTGAACATAAAGGATTCGTTGAATGGTTGCAGCCAGAGGACCTTAGTCAATGTCTAGGTAAGGATCAATCTGAGCAGTGTCCTCCAGGGGTATATCCTGGGGCTGGTGTTCTTTAACATTTTTATCAGTGACATAGAGAGCATCCTCAGTAAGTTTGCTGATGACACCAAGTTGAACAGTTGATAGAACAGAAGGAAGGGACACAATCCAGAGGAACCCAGACAAAATAAAAAAGTGAATCCAAGTGGTCCTAATGAGATTTAACAAGTGCAAGGTGCTGCACCTTGGTCAAGGCATTCCCCTTACATATGTACAGACTGGAAGATGAACTAACTGCAAGCAGTCCTGCAGACAAGGACTTGGGGGGTCCTACTGGAAAAAAGCTGGACATGAGCAAGCAGTACAGACTTACAGAATTCCAGCCTGGAAGGCCAATGGTATCCTGGACGGCACCCAAAGAGGGGTGGCCAGCAGGGAGAAAGTGATTGTCTCCCTCAGCTCTGGTCTTGCGAAACCCCTTCTGTGTCCAAGACCAAAACCTCCAGTATAGGCAGGGTGCGGAACTGTTGGAGTGCATCCAGAAGAGGGTCATGAAAATGATCAAAGGCCTGGAACACCTCAACTATGAAGAAAGGCTGAGGAATTTGGATTTGTTTAGCTTGAAGAAGAAAAAGCTCCAAGGAGATCTCATTTCTGGTCTTCCAGCATTTGAGGGAAACTTGTAAGCAGGAGGGAGATCAACTTTTTACACAGGGATAGGACGAAGTGTAGTGCATTTAAATTAAAAGAGCAAAGATTTAGATTAGATAATAGGAGGAAATTCTTTACTCTGATGTTGGTGAGATACTGGAACAGGCTGCCCAGAGAAACTGTGGATGTCCTCTCCCTGAGAGCATCTGAATGAGGCCCTGGGCAGCCTGATCCATTGGTTCGAAATCCTGCCCATGGCAGGGAGATTGGACCTAGATTATGTTTAATGTCCTTTCAAACCCAAGCCATTACATGATTCTATGGTTTAGGGATATACAGCATTTATATGATGTAGAAAGACAATGGTGTTTTCTTTTTGGAGAGTAATCCAAATGCACTCAAGATAATTTCATTTCAGGTTATTTGAAGCAGGTAATGGCAATTTTGACAGACAGTAGCACTATTTCTTTTTGAATAATCTACATTTTCCAAATACATTATGACAACTGATTTTCATCCCTTTCATATGAATATTTTCAATAGGTTTCTCTCATACATTAAGGATTATAAACTTAGGATTTGTTGCCTGTTCATATCATTAGATATCAAGCCACAGAACTAGCTGAATATGTATGATCCTATTACTCATTAAAGAAATGGATAGTAAATTGAGGCCTTCATTGAGTATTAGAAGCTTATATATTCTTTCAAACCTAGAGGATGTATGGTTTTAGCAGTTTGGTTTTGGTGTTAGATCATATTTTAGAAAGAGACTCAGTTTACCACCTGTGAAATTTTGAAAATTCTACTCATAGTAAATAAACACTGATAAATTCACACACAATAACTTCCAGCTTCTTCTTTCCAAAAAAGCTTAACTGTGGAGTGAGAAACTTGAGTATGAATGTCTTTGAGATTCAATAATGTGCTAAATAATATTGGTCTTTCCAAAAGTCTGTCTTGTTTGTTTCAATTACAGAGCCAAAGGAAGTGAGAGGCAGCCAGATGGCCAGAATACAGAATCTTATGAGGAAAAAAAAATCAGTGTGAGAAGATTGTATAATAGAACAAAGTATTCTTTCTTCATCCCTTTTTCCTCAAAGGATGGAAGATTGCCAAACTTGCCATCTTGCATTAGAAATGTCACCATTTCTTTTAAATGTGAAATGTAGCCACTTCCAGCCATTTGGTATTAACCCATCAGCCATGCCAGCTTCATCTTCAGTGAATTGAAATGAAGGGGAATACGATAATCTGGTAACCCTTTTGTCCTATATTGAACTGCCCTAGTACTCTCTGATTTCCTACCACAACAATGCCCTCACATCTCATGGAACATTTTCACTATTTCATTATTTAGTTCAACCATCTACCCAGTTATGAGGCACAGGTGAATGTTCAAGAATAGAAAGATGAGTCTGCTAAATTGGTCTGTTATACTCATTTTTAGAACTGCAAAGTACTTTAAAAAATCTGATACCATCTACTAGTGTCTGTTCCAAGAAATAGGAAGAAAAAAAGTATCACGCTAGCATAAGGAAAGATTATAGGATTATACTAACATTGGAGTATAAAGCGTAAAAAGAAATCAGGCAGTCAAATTTAAATTACTTTTTTATTATGTAATTATAGGACTGTTGAGATTGAAAAAGACCTCTACAGGTCAAGTGGTCCAACTCCCCTCCTCAAACAGAGTCATCTAGTGCAGGTTGCTCAGGACTGTGTCCGTATGGTTTTTGAGCATGTCCAGGGAACGAAGCTCCAAAACCTCTCTGGGGAAGTTTTAACAGTGCTCACGCATGAGCACAATAGTGTTTGCAGACACTCAGAGAGAGCATTCTGTGCTTCAGTTTATGCCTGTTGCCTCTTGTTGTGGCACTGGGCACAAACTATCTGCTTGAAAAATTCCCAACAAATAAGGCCTGAAGAGAAGGACCCAAGAAAGCTGGTTACTTTTCAGTGACATCCTCTTCTTTGTTGGCTCATCCCAGTCAGGCAAAAATTCCAGCAGATGTGTTTGTGACAGATTTGCTCCAAGCCAAACTAAAACATGAAAAGGAAGCACACACTGAGAGAAATACAGAGATATTGTCTAAGCATCCAGGGCTGAGGTTAGGAAAGCCAAAATCTAATGGAATGCAATCCTGCCAGTGATCTCAAAGACAACTAAAAAGGTCTTCTGTATATACACTGGTGGCAAAGGGAAGACAGAGAAAAAGTGGGCCCACTGCTGAAGGTGGCAGAGTACAGTGAAAAAATAAGGTATTGAATGCCTTATTTGCTTGGTCTTTGCCAGCAAGAGGTCCTAATGAAGGGAAAGCAGCTATAAAGATTCTAGGCATCCTGAATGAAGGGTAGCTGATCATCCTTGTCCAAAAGCTGCTATAGCTTTACAGGCCCATGTTCTCGAGGCCCTCCTTATTTTTTCCTCACATGGCAACAGTAGTTACCCTAAAATTTCTCAGAGGTTTCCTA